TTACTATTAGATGCTGAAAAAAAATCTGTCACTTGATAGTAGTATTTTTTTTTCCAGAAACTTTGAAAATACACACACGTACACAAATACAATTAAGGGAAATAATTACTGGAAAAGAAAAACAGGTTGAACTCTTTCGAATTCATTTCATCACCACCCCAAATTTTTGTGTACCAAGCTAGTTGGGTGTTTGATAAATTGACAATAGATGCCTTCAATAAGGACCTTCAAGGGAGACTCAAGATCTACATAATAGTCTATGGAAACTGGCAATGAATAAGGTTATCAAACGGGATAGAGATGTTTTTACACTTTAGTTACAAATGTTTTTCCCCTGTTTGATTGATTGTTCTATTATCTATGTCATCTTTTATATTAAAACACTAGCTTGTACTACAGTTGTCCATAGCCTTTGAAAATCTGATGAAAGTTATGAAAAGCCTCACAGAAAAATGCACATTGTTACCTGAATATAAAGTTTTGTATTAATTTTTAGGGCATTTCAGAGGCATGTGGACTCTGAAGTGCCCATCCTAAGACTTCAGGAGTAGGGCAATCTATGTTATTTGCATCCCACCATATCAGAGATAAGCCTTTGTGATAAATTTATAATATGTGGCTGGCTTAACATGATGATGTTTGGGGGTTATGCACTTGAACCCAATTCAAATTCTATTAAACAGAGCAATGAGAAAATTTTATTAACCTTAAATAAGGAAAACAAACTGAAGGTTGGTGGAGTGGTGGGGGGTGGGAGGGATGGGGTGGCTGGGTGATAGACACTGGGGAGGGTATGTGCTATGGTGAGCGCTGTGAATTGTACAAGACTGCTGAATCACAGATCTGTACCTCTGAAACAAATAATACATTATATGTTAAAAAGAAGAAGAAGATAGCAGGAGGGAAGAATGAAGGGGGGGAGTAGGAGGGGGAGACGAACCATGAGAGACTATGGACTCTGAGAAACAAACTGAGGGTTCTAGAGGGGAGGAGGGTGGGGGGATGGGTTAGCCTGGTGATGGGTATTAAAGAGGGCACGTACTGCATGGAGCACTGGGTGTTACAGGCAAACAAGGAATCATGGAACACTACATCAAAAACTAATGATGTAATGTATGGTGATTAGCATAACATAATAAAATGAAAATAAATAAATAAGGAAATAATAGGTATCATTTTAACACATTCATATTTCTGCACAGTTATATACAGGCAATCAGAAGAAATCACTGACAATCTGAGTCGTAATGGATGGAAGTTTATATAAAAAATCATAGCATACTTAATGATATTTGTAACTTCAGTAAGTTGTATTTTTTTTTATGTTGGAGTTACTTTAAATTCATAGTAACAAAAATACATTTTTTAAAGATTTCAGACAGTAACACCCAACATACAACTTCTTTTTCTTATTATTATTTTGTTATGTTAATCACCATACATTACATCATTAGTTTTTGATGTAGTGTTCCATGATTCATTGTTTGCGTATAACACCCAGTGCTCCATGCAGAACGTGCCCTCTTTAATACCCATCACCGGGCTAACCCATCCTCCCACCACCCTCCCCTCTAGAACCCTCAGTTTGTTTTTCAGTGTCCATCATCTCTCATGGTTCATCTCCCCCTCCGATTTCCCCCCTTCATTCTTCCCCTCCTGCTATCTTCTTTTTTTTAACATATAATGTATTATTTGTTTCAGAGGTACAGGTCTGTGATTCATCAGTCTTGTACAATTCACAGCACTCACCATAGCACATACCCTCCCCAATGTCTATCACCCAGCACCCCAACCCTCCCACCCTCCACCACTCCAGCAACCCTCAGTTTGTTTCCTGAGATTAAGAATTCCTCAGATCAGTGAGATCATATGATATATGTCTTTCTCTGATTGACTTATTTCGCTCAGCGTAACACCCTCCAGTTCTATCCACGTCATTGCAAATGGCAAGATTTCATTCCTTTTGATGGCTGCATAATATTCCATTGTATATATATACCACATCTTCTTTATCCATTCATTTGTCAATGGACACTTTGGCTCTGTCCATAGTTTGGCTATTGTGGACATTGCTGCTATAAATATCGGGGTGCACGTACCCCTTCGGATCCCTACATTTGTATCTTTGGGGTAAATACCCAGTAGTGCAATTGCTGGATCATATGGTAGCTCTATTTTCAACTTTTTGAGGAAACTCCATACTGTTTTCCAGAGTGGTTGCACCAGCTTGCATTCCCACCAACAGTGTAGGAGGGTTCCCCTTTCTCCGCATCCCCGCCAACATCTGTCGTTTTCTGACTTGTTAATTTTAGCCATTCTGAGGGGTGTGAGGTGGTATCTCATTGAGGTTTTGATTTGGATTTCCCTGATGCTGAGTGATGCTGAGCACTTTTTCATATGTCTCCAACATATAACTTCTTTAAGTAATATCAAGCATAACATAAATGAAAGGCTGTGACATAAAATAAAATGATATATCTCTACTATTATCTTCAGTTTTCCTTACATACTATACACCAGTTAACAAAAGTATAATTGGAAGTAGCCACACTGAAAGGTGGAATCTTCTCTTTATACCTTTGAAGGTATTAGTTTCACATATTTAAAATTAGAATTTTAAAAATAATTTTTTTAAAGATTTTTATTTATTTATTTGACAGAGACAGAGAGAGACACAGCGAGAGAGGGAACACAAGCAGGGGGCGTGGGAGAGGGAGAAGCAGGCTTCCCGCTGAGCAGGGAGCCAGATGCGGGGCTCGATCCCAGGACCCCGGGATCATGACCTGAGCCGAAGGCAGACGCTTAATGACTGAGCCACCCAGGCACCCCAGAATTTTAAAAATAATTTATCTTTAACAATAATTAAACCTCTTTTCCCAAAGCCATTATTTTTTGTGTGTGTATATATATACATATATATATATATATATATAGGAGGTATTTGTATATATATTATATACACATATATAATATTTTAAATGGATATTGTAAGAAAAATAGAAAATTCTGATTTGGGTTCTAGCAGGTATAGGAAAGCGTTAAGACTGGAGAAATAATATATGTGATATAATAATAATGTGATGTATTATCAGCTTTTCTGTGGAGAATTATGAAAACAAATGCTTTCATGGCATATATGGGAGTACACTAATATTTTCACTTTTTTTTTTCCCTAAGAGAGTAAGCTTGAATTTCATCCAAATTAATTAGGATGGATCTGGGAGTAAGCAATTATTAATTTGTTTAATTGTTCATTCAATAAATATTTATTATCTTTGTACTATGTGCCATGTATTATAATAAGAGAAAAAATAAATACAGATAAATAATAATTATCCAGCTGAGACCCTCAAGGGATCTTTTAGAGAAGAATGATACCTATGGGATTAAGATGAAGTGTAATAGACACTATGAAGGAAACAATATAGAATATCATGGAAGTACATACCTCTGCTATTATGTACTTCTGGCAATCAGAAAGGTTTCCCCTTTGCAAAGAAAATTTTAATCAGGATATTGAAACAAACAAGCCAAAATAAACAAAACCCTAAAATTCCCTTGGTTTGACTGTTTTCATATCAAATCAGCCCACCAGTCGACAAAATTTGAACAAACCATGGAAGTTCTAAACAGAATATAGTTATTGGTGGTGATAGTTTCCAGGGAAACTTTTGGAAATTACTTAGGTCATTGGTCCATCATATGCAACTTTCCACATGCATCACTATTAATGTGAAAGACACCTTTCCCCCAGAAAACCAATAATTAATGTTTTAAAAAGTCTTTTGAAAGTGCTTATCTCTGTTCAACAAAACGCTAAAGATGTAGTGTTTAGTGTTTCCTTTCAATTCATTAGTGAACTAAGAGGTGTTCCCCTTCATTTTGTCTTCCCATCCCTCTCCACCCCTCCAAACACACCTCACATTTTGTCTTTCTTCTGTCTCTCTCCTCTTCCTCTCCCCAGCCAACCTTTCCTTCTTCCTAAAGTGGTCAACCTTTGGAAGTCAGTGAGCTCTATTATAAAAGAGCGTCCAGTGTCACAAAAGGAGAAAGGGATTTTGACCAGATGTCCCTTGCCTTCACCTTCCCTCTCCTCTTCAGCAATGGATGGAGCAGCAAAGCTGAGAGTGTGTGCCAGGTAGGAACGAGTATAGTAAATGAATTTGGTATCTTTACAGCAACAGCTTGGCAAATGCGTTGAGTACAGAATGAAGCTCAAGGCCACATTCTAAGTTTGGCGAGAGTCTGTCCAGTGAATTGCAGCCCCTCTTAGGAGGAAGAATCTTCTTTGTTTTCCCGCGCCCCCCCCCCCCGCACACCTCCCCCTCTCCAAGCACCTGAAGGGAAGAGTCCCAAAATTTGTTTCTGTCCATACTTGATCCCTGGTCCTCACCACGGTCTCCCATCCCCATGCCCAGCCATTCCAGTCATCCAGCTCCTTCTCCACCTCCAGTCTTGAAAATGGGTACAAAACAGGTCCTCGAACAACCAGCCTAAGGAGAGCGGAACTTCATTGGTGAAATCCAAATCCCAGCAGGAAGGAAGGGGGGTCAGGAGGGGAAAAAAGTGAAGGCAAAGCAATGCTGTGGGCAGGGACCCACTGGGGTTGGGGATGGCGGTCGTGGAGGGGGGCCAGAGTTAAAGGTTGGAAAGAACTTGCTCAGCCTTTCGGTGCAAGCGCGCCAATGTTAACCTCGGAAGCCTCACGGTGCGGGCACGAAAGGGTGTTGAGCGGTATACATAGCTCTCCATACACATTGGGAGCTCAGCGAGAAAAGGAGGGGGCGATGGAAGGCAGGTTCCGCCTCCCCCTGGCCCGCGTGCACACAAGCGCCCACCGCGGCTCGGGCTGGCTGAGCGCGGGCGAGTGTGAGCGCGGGCGAGTGTGAGCGCGAGTGTGCGCACGCCGCGGAGAGCCTCTGCCCTCGCCTCGCACCCTGCTCAGGGCATCTTGAGAGCCTGGAAACGTGAACAGGCTTAAAGTATGGCATGTTGCAAAGATGGTTTCTGCCAAGAAGGTACCCGCGATCGCTACGTCCTCCCGGGTCAGTTTCGCCCTCCTGCACTTCCTGTGCCTGGCGGCTTGGTGAGTTCCCCGGGGTCCTGAGGGACAAGGGTGGAGAAGTGGCCAGCTCCGGGCCCCCGCCGGCCGCCGCCCCTCCCGGGGCAAACCAGACCCTCCTGTCTCCGCTGTAAGGTCAGGGGCCGCACCTGGGCTTTTCTGTGACGGAGTAGACGCGGAAAGCAGAAGGGGCACCCGGTGCAAGAAGAGTATGGGTATTGGGCTGCGTGTGCACAGGGTGCGCCTTTCCTGACCATTTCTCTATCCCCCATCCTTCAGACCTGCCTCCTTCTGCTTGGGGCAAGAGACTCTTTCCCTAGAAGATAAACCTGTTTCCACCTGTTCTGTGATTGATTCTTAAAACAACCCCTTCTGCGTTTTTTGTTTTTTTTTGTTTGGTTTTGTCTTTTTTTTTTTTTTTTTTTTTTTTTGCATTCGCAGTTTAAACGAATCCCCAGGACAGAACCAAAAAGAGGAGAAATTATGCCCGGAAAATTTTACCCGCATCCTGGACAGCTTACTCGATGGTTATGACAACAGGCTGCGTCCTGGATTTGGGGGTATGAACGATTTCAAATGCTCAAGTGTGTCCTGTCTGTCCCTCTCTCCGTCTGCCTGTCTGTGTATCATTAGGTATGCTTCGAGTGGAAAAATGAAAAATCTTTCTCTCAATCTCTCTCCCTCTCTCGCTCCCTCCCCCCTCCTTTGATGAGACCTCTGACAAGAAGACCGCCCCCACCAGTACTTTCCCATCTCCCTGCCGACTCAGAAGCTTTGCCTCTCCCCCACACTAATTACCTTCCGGGACCTGACTACTGGGTGGGGGAGGTTGGAGGGAAAGAATCAAAAATGGGAACTTGGGGCTCGGTTGCCCAGCTGCGCCCTGAGAGTGGACTTCCCCTGCACCTGGCCACTTTGCTCAGAGCAGGTTGCACTTGAGGCAACTGATCCTAAGTCCCTTGTCCTCCCACGTGGTATCTGTCCCTTTGCCAAAACCTCGACACTGTGTTCTACCTAGGACATGAATCTGGGGCATGAAGCTGCCTGCTCTGCTAGAGAACCCAGTCCTTTCCTGTTCTCTTCCACAGTGGGATGAATTTTTACTTTGTTTGGGGAGATGGCATTTACCTCCTTCCTAAGACTTTGGAGTCAGAGGTGTTTCAGCTTTATTTCTTCCTTAAGTATTTATAATGACTATAATAGAGGCACATCCATTAGCAGTACTGTTGCTATTTTGCATATTCATATTCCCTTTGCTTATATAATGAGAATTTATGTGGCAAGCATTGTGCTAGGCACCATGTTCGCAGAATCTCAAGATATAATTCCTACCCTCCAACACCCGCTCAGTCCATTTCAGAGAGAACACATGACTTCACCCCAAGTGTCAGCTCAGGTCTTCTGACTACCAAGTCCATGTTCTTTCCAGCTACACTGAGCTAGTTATCCACTGGGAAACGAGTTGAACAAGATGCAGGCTCTATCTTAAAGGAATCTCTAGTCATAGTAGTAGTAACAAGAATAACCACTAATATTTTATTTATTTATTTGAATTTTCATATATACCAGGCGTTTTATAGCCATTACTGAGAGTAAGCTCTTACTATCCCCATTTTACAGATGAAGAAATTGAGGCTTGGGAAGTTAAGTAATCAGTTCGAGTTCACAGTTGGTAAGTGGCATGGGCAGGATGTGAAACCAGGTCAGGTTGTATATTTCAGAGACAAACCCATGAAGGCTGAGAGGACATCAGATGCTATGTAGCGAGCATCACATGATATTAGCAGCGCAGGGCACGTTAAGCTTCCTATTGAGAGCGTATAGGAGATAGGAGGAGGAGAGCATGGAGAAAGGGAGAGGGAGCAAGAGAGTCCCGTGAAAGAGGGCAGAATTAGACATGGTCTCAAGTTTGAAAGAATTATCAGAAGTAAAATAGACTTGGAGGAGAGAGTGGAACTGGATGATTTTTTGGAGTCTGATTAGTCTGGTTCTTCTCATTTAACAAATGAGGACACTGAAGATTGGAAATGGAAAGTCATTTATACAGGAACACATAGCATATTAATGGTTGGCTGGAATCAGGTCTTCTGATTCCAACTTTTCTTCTGGATTTTATTGAGAAGGTTATAGGGGGTCATTGAGGGTGTTAATTGAGTTTTCGCATGTTGACAGTGATAAATCTGGATGAGAAGGATGAAAGATTCTCCTAGTTCTTCTCACATTGCCTCTCCAGCAGTAGGATGCTCAGCACGGCATTTGCCTTCATGCGAATCTGAAAAGAGGTTTCCTTGCAGAAGTGAATCATTTATCAATGCACGATCTTTCACAAGTGACTGGGAAATTATCACTTTATATCCAAAAAAAGAATTCTGTGGAGAATATTTCAGATGATGTGATATCATTGAAGACCATATTATATCAATAAAAGAGAACTTATCTGCCCATAAAGGTTTTAAACATGACATTTTAAGTAAGGAAAAAAATAACAAAAATATCAAATCACGTGAGTTTAAATATTTATTAGAGCATTGATATACCTGAACATAAATTAAGGTGAAAAATTATAACTGAGATGATATGGTTTTATTATTAAATGATGAAAGTTAAAGTAATATCTGCCCAGGTGGTTATAATACAAATGTAACTCAAAAAGAAGAGGGAATCCATTGTAGATGCATCCTTTATACCAACTACCCTCTCCCATAATATTATATAGACAGTAAAATGAATGAAATCCATCCATGTAAGCCATTACTAGATTTTGGCTAGCTGCAGTACTGCTGAAATGTCTCAAAGGCATTATTAGTCATACTACTTCTCACTGCCAAGTGATCTGCATTACCCACCTGGAGATACTTTTATAGCTTTTTGGGAAGACGTTGAATTCACCTTACTTCAAGTGTTAGCAGTTGCTTAATCATTAAAAATTTACTATATCACACAATTTTTTTTGGCTATGCTCATAAATATTTGTGGTAAAGGTGATTCGTTTTTTAGGAATGGGTCATTCTCTGTAAATGCATAGCATACCAAATGTGACAGGGGGACTAGTAATTCTCACCCGCAGAAACCATGCAATCTGTTTACAGGATGTTATAAATGAGCATCACTGAAGATAATAAGAAAACTCATTCTTAGCACAGACTCTTGGATACCACAAGTTTGGTCCCTTCTTGACATTTCAATACTTTGTGGAAAGTTTGGTATTTTAAAAATAAAATGAAAACAATTCAGATTTTGACCAGTGTGCTATAAATACAGATTTACTTCCTGGTTCCTTTAATCCTACTTCTGCTCTTTGTAGAGCATTTACTTTATATCTGTTTATACAACTTAGCTGTGTTCCATTTAAAATAAAGCTAAAAGCAAAGATTTGAATTGAAATTGGATGGTTTGTGATTGCTCAGTAGGCCGGCAGGGGTTGGAATAGATTTGGAAACTAAATTACATATTTTTAACTCCGCCGCACAGCTTGCAACAGGGAAGGAAAAGGAACTGAAATCGTTCTCTTCTTTTCATCCCTCCAGGGTCTCCTCTCCCTTGTCTCCCACGTTCTCCCATTGGGGAAGAAAAGGGGAAAAGGTGAGGGGAGAAGGAAGGAAGCATGGTGAGAGAAGCCAGATTGGGTCTTTTGAAGGGTATAGTTCTTTTGGCCTCTGACAAATCAGTCTGCTGTCATCCTGAAGTAGCTTGCACCTTCAGAAGTGGCATACAAGTGAGCCCTTCCACAAAGGAGCTAGAAAATCATTCCCCTGTACTCTTAGCCACTTTCAACACTGTTCTACATCATCTTAAAAATGCATAGCTAAGGTATTAACCACCAGGAGATAGCTTAGGAAGCCAGCCCTTCACCACTTCCATTTGTTGAAGGATTATGCAACCCTTGTACATTTCAATCTTTTGAGGCACATGAGCTAGAATAACAAATACTTCAAGTAATGATAATTGCCTTAGATCATCTTCCACAACCTCCCTGAAATGGGAACAGACCATTAGGTCAGTTTTGCAAGGTTGCTCGCCACCATAAGCCGGGACTTCACGTTAGTGGTGTCCTCTACAGTTTGGAAACCTTTTTGCATACAATGTTTAATAAGATTCTCATAACAACACGAAGAGATAAGCAAGGTGGGCATCATCCCTATGTTAGAGGGGAGGCTGAGAAAAGTTCCAATGAATTGCTCAAGAACTCTAAAACTACTAATAGGCAACTAATAGACTAGGCAGCTGGTCTGTTGCTACATCCACTTCTAAAGTTTTCTTACATCCTTCTGTTAACCAAGAGTGAAATTTTCATTAACATACCTTCTTGTTCCTAAGTAGGTTATTAAAATAAGCAAAACTACATTTCCCCCAAAGGAGTGAAATAACGCTTATTCTAAAGCTTTAATAACATTTTAAAATGGAAAAGCAAATATGGAGGAGTATATACACTTAGGTAAATTTGGAATAATTTTCCCACACAAATAAAAATATCCTTGCAAAATTTTCAAATGATCTATATCCTAACCTAAAATTACATTAATGCACTAACCATGTGCTAGCCTTATTAACTGAATGTCTACAGAGAATAGATTTTTTAAAATATGTAGACAAAAAGAACACAAGTCCACAGGGCAACAGAAAAATAAAGCTTCATTCTCTTTTGATTTGTCACTGTCATTTATGCATTCATTTATTGAACCAACAGATATTGATACCACTATGTATCAGGAACAATGTGAGGTTGTAAAGATATTCTGAATCAGACACAGGCCCTTGTGAACTTTACAGCTAAGCAGTGTAGAGAGATACAAATAACAAAGAAACAAATAACAAAATATTAAAGATAATGCTGTGGAACAATCTAATAGCATGCTAAAATAGAGAAAACTGAGTAAAGGATCTATTTCAGATACGGTGGTGAAGAAAATCTTGTAAGTTGAGCCCTAAAGGGGACAGATGTGGAAAAGGTAAGCAAAAATTGTTCTCAGGCAGGAAAAAAATAAAAAGAAAAAGCAAGTTTAAGGATTCTAAGGTAGATGGTAAGTTAGTGTGATTCAGACAGTGAAGGGAGTCTGGTGAAAGGAATTCTGGGAAGGTAGTAAGAAAACAAGAGGAAGGATCTCACAGGACTAGCTTCTTGTGGTAAGCGGAGGCCAGAGCAGTCAGGGCCTTTTGTAATTTTAGTGAACCTGGGCGCCATTGTAGGTTTTTTAGGTGGGGGGAATGGCTTGGTGTGACTCAGATTGTAACGTGATCCCTTTGGCCGCTGCATAATAAAAAGAAAGACTTAGATATAGAGGTTGAGCCATATTGGAAGCAAGGAGACCAGTGAAAAAGTTTTTTCTGGGGTGGGGGGGTTCTCTTCATTAAGTTAATGGTGCTTGTTATAAGGTGGTAAATGTAGTAAAGATAGATTTAAGTGGAAAAATTGAGATATATTTTGGAGGTATAATTCAACAAAAAATTGGTGATGGATTTCATATGGGTGGTAAAGGAAAGGGAGAAGTAAAACATGACTCCTGGATTTTTATTTTGAGAAAATGGGTAGAGGATGGCTCTCTTTAAATTAGAGAGAAGG